GATTTTATATATATATATATATATATATATATATATATATATATATATATATACATATACACATACATACACACACACACACTGATCAGCCATAACATTATGACCACTGACAGGTGAAGTGAATGACATTGATTATCTGGTGGCATCTTGAAGTGGGTGGAATAAATTAGGCAGCAAGTGAACATTTTGTCCCTGAAGATAATGTGCTGGGAGCAGAAAAATGGGCAAGGGACGGGATTTGAGTGACTTGGACAAAGACCAAATTGTGATGGCTCAGGGCTGTTTTGGTGACAAAAGGGGGACCTACTCAATATTAGGTGGTCATAATGTTATGGCTGATAGATGTATATATTTTTTAAGGGAACTGTTTTACCTGTCAAAGGATTTGTATTTTTTGTCCATCCAGTTCTGAGATTTACAGCATTTCTGAGGCCCCACAACACAGCCCATGTGTCCGGCCCACCTTCAGCATGTGATTGGACTCAAAAGAGAAGCTTCACTCTGTTGGCATCATCTCTTTTGAGCAGTATGGGTTTTTGGTACATATCAGAGTAAGGATGCGCACAGGGCACTGATGGCATGCAAAGTAAAGTGACCAAGAGGAGCCATTTAAAAATCACTTGAATAACTCATTGCAATGGGCTACTGCACTTCGTACAACTTCATTGTTCTTTGTGCTACTCTACTGTGCTCCAGTAGAGGCTGGCAATGCTGCTTGGGACTTCAGAGTTCTCAGCCCACTACAGGAAGTTAGAAGTTGACTACATTTCCGGCAGGATCATTCGTTTTTCAGTACTTACAGCGTTTTAGCAGACATAACATGAGGAAATGAGCACATCATTGGAGAGCTGTGCTAAACATGTGTTAGATTTTGCCCAGACCGAGCATTGACAGACGTCAAGCCAATTATACATGATATTCTGAAATGTCCATTGGTGTCACATGCAAAAGTAGGCTTAGGTTAGCAAAGATCACTAATTATTATCATGGCCACTTCAGAAGAGCTGCAAATTATTTCTAATATGTATATTTACACCTTCACACATGGTGCATTAATTAGCAGAGCTATAAATAGCCCGTGCCTAGAATGTTCACACAAATATTAATAGAATTTCCCTTGATGTCTGTTTTGAACCATTCAGAAGGTATCACAGATTGAAAGTAATTATCATTTACCAGCATGGGAACTCATGACCATTAAATAATTTGTTAATGTTTTCCTTATTCTGGGAAATAATTATGGCTTCATTATGGAAATCGCTCTAATTCGGATATTTTGTGCATCCAGTCCACAGAGCTTGAATTTGTGCTAACAGATGAATTTAAAAATTATTCCCCCAAAAAATCCTCTCGCTGCATAATGACAAGCTAACAAGAAAACAGATCTATTTCATGTTCCACATTTAGGGGAATAACAGATGTAATAATTGCATCATTTGCAAGTTATGCATATTCAGATTAGCTAACAGTTTTTTATTAGGTGTCTTTGGTAGATTGGTCCCAATTCTAAACAGTGTAAATGGCGCTGATCATTGGGAAAGACTCATATTAGGAGAGTGAGGCACAAAAAAACTAAAGACCAGAAAACAGTGTATACAGGAATATATCCCGGAACCAATGTTTCTGATTTGGAAAGTTGAATGCTAACTTCTCATATTTCTCAGGACAGGGACTTCAGTGTTGAGATTCTAAACAATAATTCTGTGAACCTTCCAAACACACATAACCATTGCAAAACCAAATGTTATACATAAGTAAATAATTAGGGATCACCTAAAGGCAGACAGGGTAGGGTAGGCTTTGGGGACATGTTCTGCAAATACATGTCCCCAAAGCAGAATTCCTCTCACCACGCTGCGTGTCTATCTCACCAGTGGCGATGTGGACATCTGCAGTGGCCCTGCGAGCTCTCCACCTCACCATCAATGCTGGGCCCCGGCCTCCTCCACGTCCAGACCGTCTGTCGGCTGGCCGACTATCTCCACTGCTGGGCCACCCGACCTTCATCCATCTCTTGGTCCAGTCCTCTTGTGTGTGCGGTGAGAGCCCCTAGCTTCTAGCCCTGGGACGGCCACTCCGCCGGTAGTTCCGCCCCTGGGGCTCTCCATGACTGTTCCTGCACCAAGGAGGAGGAGATAAAGAACCGGACAGGCACTGCCACAGACAGCTATCTGCAGGTCCCCAGCATGCTGCAGAGGTCCCTACATGCGTGGGAACTCGGACGGCCACTGCTGTTTAAAAATTTAAAGGGGTGGTATCGGCCTTAGGAATCGGGGCATTTTTATGAGTACAAATACTAGTATCGGTGTATATATATACACTGTTATGTGAAAGAGAGTTTAGGGAGAAGGAACACTGTTGTGAGAAGGATATGTAGAGAGAGCACATTACAGGGTGAAGGTGTTAGGAATCAGACTTGGAAAGTAAGAGCTGGATGGGGAAATACAGGTTTGCTTGCAGTCTGTCTGGAGTGGAGCCCTGTTGTTTGCAGTTGCTGTCTTGCGTGTGCTTTAGTTTAAAGGGTCTTGGTACTTGTGCAGTTATGATACTTAGCCAGGAATGGTAAATGACTGTTCCCTAACTAATATCAGAATCCAGCATGTAATTCGCCCTAGTGTTCTAACACAAAACCTCAATAATAACTTGGCACAAAGTTGAACTTTTGTTGTGCAACCTTATAGATCTATATCACCTGTAGGCTTACCAGTGGCATTTGAAGTATCTAATGTGGATGCTGGAAAGGAAGTCAGATGCGTGTTGGAATATATTTCTTCCCCCTATATCTTCCTTCATCTGAAAGAGCTTAGTTTTGATAGGATCTATTTTATATGAACATAATTGAATTGATATTTAATGTCCCTTTTATAAAAGTAATGCCTGGACCTTTCAGAGTGGCACTGTATCCCCAGTGACAGCTGCAGGCTGCCCATGATGCCACTCAAGCTAACCTACATACATAAAAGAAAAACACAATGAACTGCCTAAAATGTGTATATTAGATTCGGAAAGATGTTAACTCTTCTTTTACTCTACAGGATTTTGTATGGCAACAAAATTACAGATCTTCCCAAAGGTGTGTTTAGCGGCCTTCATGCATTGCAGCTTCTGTAAGTAAGGGTTTATTCTTATCTCACTTGCATATTTCTACCCAGTGTCCTTTGCTGTGCATGTGTGTTTAGATGGTGGGGGTGGGAGGATTATGTTTAAGAAAGCCCGTCATGAGAGAACTATGTGGGCGCCTGCGACTGACCTGCTTGTGAAAATGCTATTTGTCTGTCTGCTTTGCCTGTTATACTTACAAGTCACAGACCCAAAAAACAAGCTTGCAGAAATTTAAAGTCTGATCTGATCTGCTTATTTGTTCTGGGTCGGTGACTTACTGTTTTGAAGCTGTGGGAGGAACATGACTGATAGGCAGCTAGCATTTTCAGAAGGCGTCAGCATTGGCAGCCTCTATATATCTTTTATGATCTGTTTCCTTTAAACTTTCTAACCAGGAATTTTTTTTACTTTTCATCAGAAAGCTTTTCTGTTTATTGTGCATTTTAGCTTTCAGTGATATATTTACTGCTAAAGGGATCTGATTGTTTGGCTCATATAATGCAGACACGGGTCAGGCCACCTTATCTCTAATAATCTCCATAGAGATGCACAGGAGGTCAGAAAAATCCCAACCTGCATGATCACTAGCATTGCCATTGCATGTTTCTGTTTACAATGTATTATTCCTGTTCTATACACAGGGAAATGTTTATACAATTGTGTTTGAAATATCAATACAGGTGATCCTTTAGAGCAGTGGTTCTCAACCTGTGTAACCTCAGGACCCACATTTGTCCTTAATTTGGTCATTAAGTCGCACTGTTCCGGTTAGTGGGATTGAACTGTGGGCGGGAGGTGCATTTTGGGTGCCATTCAAATGAATGGCAACGCACAGTAGGTGCATTTGTGTGGTACAGTGTGTTAATGGCACAGGACTGTTCAATTACCACACTGTACTAGTGTGAGCGGGCCCTCAGAAACACTGACAGACACATACAACCAAAGACACATTCTCACACACATACACACTCCAAAAGAAAATGTTTTCTTTTTTTTAAAGATCCACCCAATCTCCCTACTTTACGATAAATGCAGTGTATCCTCCAGTGTGGGTTGCTGTCCTGTGATATGTGTATTACTTGTACAGCTCCCTTGCACGCCCTGTAGAGGTGCCGGGAGCCAGAATGTGACGTCACTCCGGTCCAGGCACCTCTACAGGACATGTGAGGGAGCTGTAAGCAATGCATGTATGGATGGAGCTCCCTCGCGTCCATAGCTCCATCCCATTCCACCTCAAGCTGACACTCAGGGCCAGGCAGCATATACTGAATGGTTGCTTGGAGCGAGAACTGTCAGTGCAGCGCTAGGAAGGGGCTGAGGAGCCTCTCACCTAGAAAAGTGGAAGACATGCGGCGACCCACTGAACACAGGTGCGCGACCCACTTTTGGGTCACGACCCACTAGTTGAGAACCAAGGCTTTAGAGAATTGGTTGTCCACCAGAGTTATGTGCATCCCTGGCTGTACTTTTAAGTGTACAGGGAGGATACTGTACCTGAATGGCTGCATTCAGTCCAGCTGATCATTAATCCATTCCTCTAAAAGTAAGCTGCTAAAAGATTTGGACACCAAAGCTCTTACATCTCTCTCTGATTTCTGGTCAGAGATGTCTTCTCCACTGGTGGAGTGGTTTAAATTAAGAAGGTAGTATGCCTCACTGTGTCATGATGTCATAAATGTGTCATGAATGCGACACATTTAAACCATGAAACCACTCCTCCAGTGGATCCTAAAACTGTAGCAGGAATTGGGGATGGGGAGTGTGTGACAATGAGATGGAAGGTGATGCTATGCTCTTGGAGTTAGACAGCTTTAGGTGTCAATAGTCTAGGGCATTGGCGTAACTAGAACCTTCAGGGCCCCCCCCCCCCGACTAGAACCTTCTCCCTCGCTGGGCCCCCCCAACAGGCAGAACGCCAGGGCCCAGTCGCAATTGTGACCGTTGTGACCCTGGTAGTTCCGCCAGTGGTCTAGGGTGAATGTATATATTGAGTAGGTCTTGACCTTAAAAATAGATATCAAAACACCTTATATTTTAATGTCCATAAAATGTTGATGTTGGAATAATAAGGTTATTTGTCATGAATTATGCACATAGGGTACCCAAGCACCCAGCCAACCCTTGAAGAAGCACCACACTCAAAATGCCTCAGAATCATTAGCGTACATCAAGCAATCCGTGGCAATCAAAATCCAAAAGATGTTTTAGTTTAGTTAGGATAATTTATAGTTATTTTTATAGTTACAATCAGTAAAATAAAATGTTGATACTGAATCATTATCGGATCTTAAAGAAATTCGTACCTTGGCCAGTCAAAGTTCTGCTGTTTGCATAATGTAGTATATTGTAGTATATTTTGGACCGCACATCAGCCATTTTTTCCATGCAAAGGAAATTGGTTGCATATAATGTATTCTGCGGGTATTTGTTATACAATTATATAAGAGCATGGTCCTTTAAAAGCAATGAAGGACAGCAGCCTGTCCTTACATAAGCTTCAAAGTCCGAGCCAGAGCTGAAATGTCACGTATGGAAGTCTCTTTATAGAATATTCATTAAATATGTGTTACAAAGTATTGACTGATTACCTTAGAACCAACATTAAGCTAATAGAAGCTTATAGAACTGAATTCAGATCAATGCAGTCATCATGACGGTGCTTTTAAACTTTATCCTTGTGGTTTACACTGAACATCTTCTCACTCTCAGACTTCTAAATGCCAACAAAATTAACTGCATCCGGGCTGACACCTTCCAGGACCTGCAGAACCTCTCTCTGCTGTCACTGTATGACAACAAGATTCAGAGCTTAGCCAAAGGAACCTTCTCTTCTCTCCGTGCCATCCAGACCTTGTGAGTATTACGACGGCAGATAAGCTGTTGGATGTGCCACCTGTTGAGTAACCTTGTGCAGCTAAAATTGTGATTTGTCCTTTATTCAGGCATTTAGCTCAAAACCCTTTCATCTGTGACTGTAACCTGAAGTGGCTGGCAGACTTTCTGAGAACAAATCCTATAGAGACGAGCGGGGCCCGGTGTGCCAGCCCTCGCCGACTTGCCAACAAACGCATTGGGCAAATTAAAAGCAAAAAGTTCAGATGTTCAGGTATTTTTTTTTTACTTTGATGATATTGCTCTTTAAAGCTGAAATAACTAAAATATGCAGTTGATGTACCTACTTGTAAAATGTTTATAAGTCTTGTGATCCATGCAGCCCTGAAAGACACCAGAGTCATAGGGTGCCCACACACCTTATGATAATCGTACGATAATCATGGGAAATCCCGCGATCGTACGATTATCGTAAGGTGTGTGGAAGCCGTGCGACCTCTACTACTGTAAGGTCGCACGACTTTAAACTTACGAACATGTTCGAAAACCCGCCGAACATCGTGTGTAGCATGTTCGTAAGATAAAAGCCGGACGGGCCGGTGTGCACAAGCGCACACTGCCGTTCGGCATTGCGGTAATCGGAAGCCCGCCCCTCAGGGGGGCGTGGCTTGCGATCATCGCAAGTACGATCTGCCTGTCCAAGATAGGCAGATCGTACGTTTTTTTAAGTACCTTACAACCATCGCAAGACAAAAGCCTTGCGATGGTTGTAAGGTGTGTGCCCAGCAATACACATTTCTACTTTAACATGTTTTTTTACACTACTGTTCAAGTTTTTTTGTTTTTTTTTTAGACATTTATACATAGTAACATGTTTGCCGTTCTCTATTTTGTATGCCATATACCGACTTATATATTATTCAAGAGGTTATCATGTGAATATCTGGGAGCGGGATTAGCAGTTCTGCATAATAATTGAGATAGAGTCTATTGTTTTTGGTCAGGTCAGACCTAACTCATAGGGGTTGATTTACTAACCTTATAAACACACCACGAACATGTATACACCTCTGTAGTGTGTTCCCTCCCAGCATGATCTATGGGTGAAATCTAAACACCTTTGTAGTGTGTACACACCCAGCAGGTGTGTTGTGCAAAGCCAAGAATGAATTGCAAGGTGATGTTGTGTAAATTAGCTCTATGTTGTATTGCTTGCGTTGATGAATGCAGGAATGTAAATGCATGAGCTAACCAATTTTGTCTAAACTGTGAAGCAGCATTATATATGCATCATGTGCGTGATTTTCCATATATGGCATTAGTGGAAATATGCTTTTAGAGACTTTTTGGTTGATAAATACGCTTTGCTGTGTGAAAATCACACGCACCTGGTGCGTGCGTGTGTTTAGGTTAGTAAATCACCCCCATAGACTTCCACCAATAGAGGGAAGCACTAAGCATAATCGTTGTACAGAACTGCCACACAGGATGCAGAATTTGTATTTGTAATAAACAAATATGGCTAGTACCTGGATATGTACTTATATACTGTGTTCCCATACCATACAAAGAAACCTTTTTTATTATTATAATACAGGATTTATATAGCGTCAACAGTTTGCGCAGTGCTTTACAATATAAGGAAAACATTACAATCATAATTAGACTCTAACAGATTATGTGGATTGGAGCAACATTCACCATTTTAATTCCCAGAGAATTGTTGTACAAGTCATTCTGAATTCTGAAGCTGGTCGGATGACCAGTGAAACATCTTCAAGAAAAATACAGCAAGTCCAGTTGCCTTGACTTATTTTTTGCAGATATACCATGACCCGGATGAATGAGAACCTTCGTAGACATTTTCACAATGACCATGTTTTCTTATGACAGTTGTAAGGAGACAATATCACCTTTGCTATGCAAGGCAAAGTGTCTTTGCAAAGGACCCCCTTAACCCCTGAAACTCACTTTCTGCCTTTGTCAAAGAGGGCAACAATACCCATTGCTTCTGGGTACTGGGAAGCATGGGACTTTCCTCCCATGTGACAGTTCTCAGGGCTAGCAGCAAATATCTAGGTCATAAGGATCAAGTGTTCCTTATGTTCTATATTTTAAGTAATAAAATAGTTTAAATTAAGTTCTTAATAATGTGGAAGCATATCCTAGGAAGCAGATGAAAAAGCATCGAACCATGCATTTAATTAGGAGTACATTATTTGGAACTGAACTGGAGACATTTGGAATCGTCTATAACATTTTGAATGCATCCAACAGGGAGGTTGATAATCAAAGACTTTCTAGTAATTGTGGGTCCGTTTTTGATTCTACAATGCTGTATTAAAAGACAATGACAATGGGGGTGGGAATTTATCAAAACTGTAGCAGCGGTGCATGGCAACCAAGCTGTGCATTGCAACCAATCAGCTTCTCTCTTCAGTTTGCTCAGTTAAGATTTGAAAATGAAAGAGAGAAGCTGATTGGCTGCACCAGTTTTGATAAATTCCCTTCAATGGGATTGATTTTCTGAAGGCAAATCAGCTGTTCACTTTGCAAGGGAATTTTACCTTAGTTTAGTGAATGGTGAAAATTCACTTTGCAAAGAAATCCCAACCATGTGCCAGGGGGAAAAAAATGTATTTTTGCACACCTATGGTCACCCTTAGGCTAATTTCATATGGGCTGGTCAGGAGAGGATCCGTGCACATATCCCCTCCTGATCACAGCAGTATAGAGCGGATGTCACTGCTGTGACATCCATGTCCGTACAGTTTTTTTCCCCTCCACCTTGCGATTGAGGAAATAACAGAAACTGCCAGACCCCATGTTGGTCTATGTGACCCTATGTTGGTCTATGTGACCCCATGTGTCCATTTACATCAGATTACCCCCGATCGGGCGAAACAGATCTCTGATACGTCTGGTGCCCGGGACCTGGCTGGAGGCGGGGTTAGCCAGGTGTAAACAGAACGTCCGCTGACACACGGCTGTCCATAGACTTGAATTGGGCATCCGATCGTCCATGTTTTCAAAAAACTGACAGGCGGACCCGATCGGACTGGCCATGTGAAAGGGGCCTTAGTATTGTTTGTGTTTTAGGAGCCTAAACAGTAAGGCCCCATTCACACACGAATGGGCCTGCACGTACAGCTCCGTGCTGCGTGCGGGGCCATACCAAGCAGCTGCCGGGAAGGACAGGTGCTGTGTGTGATTAGTACGCAGCCCCCGTCCTTCTCTATGGGGCTACGCGGCCGTACGCCCCCCTACGCTCACATCAATTGCAAGTCCGTAGGGGTGCCGGCGTATGATCGTATTCATACGCTGCCGGAATGCATCCTGTATGCGTCCCGGCCAGAAAACCGGCACCCCTACGGACCTGCAGTTGAGGTGAGCGTAGGGGGGCGTACAGCCTTCCGCAGCTGCAGAGATCGGGAAATGTCTCCGTGCCTGTGATTGGCACTGCAGCGCTGTCAGCTTCCTGTCGGGCTCGGCACGTGGAGTTGCGAACACGCCCGAGCCCATCACTATTCGCAACACGTCTGTTGAGCTGAGATTTCTGCACAATACCGCACATGTATGACATAAACAGGGCACATGAAAACCAGTTCTTTTCTATGTGCCATTAACACCATACATGTGCTGTGCAGAAAAACTCAATGGACATGGTGTGAACAAACCCTGAGGGTATATTTCTCTGCTATTTAGAAATGAACACTTATGTTTACGTTGGGGTCAGGTTAGTCTTACCTGTTATGTTATGACATGCATACATCAGTGTACACCGAATTAAAGTTTTTTTTTTTATGACTGGAATTAGTGTGCAAGCAAATCCATGTGCCGTGTGTGCATAACTCCTTTACATCTGTAGTAAAACTGTAACCCTGCCTGTGAATATAATCTCACTGTTATGGTGTCTGTTTGCATCTTACATTCACACAAGCAGGTATTTCAATATTGGCTCTTGGGTGTGACCACTGAGCATTTCTGAACTGCAAATAAAACTCGAAAACATGGAGCAGCAAACGTTTCCCTGTTCTGCTGATAGAAGATACTTTTATAGTATAACTCTGGGGAAACTGTTTTTATTAACCCCTCCCCCCCTGCAAATGTTAAGCGCTCATTTTGGTGTAGGGAAGAAAATAACAAAGTTATACTCACCTGAGCCTAAGACAGCTCTCCCTCCAGCCTCACTCCTCTTTTGCTGCAGCGATAGAATGTCCCTCTCCATCCTTACCTCCTACACACTTTGTATAGAACGTGATTACTCAAGGATCTTAGACCGCTGCAGCGGAGGGGGCTAAAGGCTCCAGGGTTCGGTGTAAGAGCAAGCCAGCTCCAAGCAGCGGGCGAGTATAACTTTATTTTTCTCTGTAGACTGATGTACACTCTGTATCTCACCATCCTACCGCTGAAGCTGATTCATCCACTGCATGAACTCACAAGGCTGAAGTGAGCACTCTTTAATTACGCTGCCTCAATTTCTACAGAGTCATGGATTGCCCAGGCTCCATTCCAACACCAAATTAATGTTAAGTTCAGCAAACGGCTTCATGGCACATTGGTGGATTCATAAAATCTGGTGCCTGCTGGCGAGTAGGAGGAGGGAGAGCGTGGGGTTTGGTCCACCACCGACGCGTTTCTTCCATTTGAATGTGAACTTTCTCAGCACTCCAGCTGTGGTAAAACTACAAATCATGTCATACCTGAGGCGGTTAGCCTTGCAGTGCCTCATGGGACTTGTAATTTCGCAACAGCTGAAGTGCCAAGGTTGCCTACCCCTGTTGCAGTATTAAAAAGTACCTCTTGCTTGCCATGAAAAAGACATTGTCCTGAGGTCCCTTGTGTCACTTAGGAAAAAAATAAACCTTACACAGTTTCTGGCTGCCCAAAACATTGAGGATATTTGACATAATTGGGGATTGCAGAGGATGTGTCCACTATATGTGGATGACCAAAATATACAGCTGACCCCTCTGCATATTTTATTATGAGCAATGTGTAAGCTAAACATTTTTAAACCATGAATACATAATATGATAAAATCATTTACATTTACAGGAACTTTTCATGTGTGTATCTGGAAAAGACATTAGAAATAACTATAGATCCTCCCGAATCTTTGTCTCTTTCTACAACACAACTCTGGAAAAGACATTAATGCAGTATTGTCTTTTTTTTTGTCTGGCTTGTTTCTTGCCACAGGAACAGAGGACTATCAGCTGAACAGCGAGTGCAACAGCGATGTTGTCTGTCCTCCCAAGTGCAGATGTGAATCAAATGTGGTGGATTGTTCCAACCTGAGGCTCACCAAAATCCCAGACCGCATCCCTCAGTCTACAGCCGAGCTGTACGTATGGGACCTTTGCCGATTCCAGTTTCACTTGTCTGTGATTTGTTGGCATCCCTACACGTTCTCGCCATCTTTTGCAAAAAGCAATTTACTTGAACCATTTTCTCTATGAGAAGCTGCGGGATTTACCACACATCCATATTTTCCCACTAAAGCCCAAAACACCTAAAGTCAGGTTCACAACCTGAGCCAGCACTATAGGAAGAGGCACTCAGCTGCAAAGGGAAGTTCTTCCCCACCATGAGAAGACATGAGGATTTAAAAGAAAGAGCAGCAAAGAGACGTGAAACAACCATGGATTACAGTAAGGCACACATTACAGTATTGGTTTATGTTAAAAAATCTGAGGGTTTAATGTCACTTTAACCCCATAGTTCTCCTTTAAGAGAAAATGAGACATTAATAGTTCACAGCTTGGCGTCCAGATAATAAACTGAGCAAAACAAATGGCAAACGCACTCATCAACTCATAACCAGCTTTTAAGCAAGGTGCACATGGAAGGGCTTTATGCAGTACAACAGCAAAAAGTTTCCCAGCACATACACCAGCCAGGATGCGAAAAAAAAACAACCTTAGTGTAACCTTAAATAATGAACTGCTCACATGCCTCACCTCACTGTGAATTATTGTATTAGTGTTTGCACAAAAATGTGCAAAAAAATGCATTAGAGCCATTGTTTCTGGAATTTTTGCAGTACATGTACCATATGAGAACAACACGAACAGTTAAAATGCAAAGCAAACTGCTAAATACACAGATAAATAAATCGGTCATTGTATATGTATTTTAGCAAAGGATTTGCATTTCTGTTCAGTCAGTCCGGAGATTTACAAAGCTCTGCTGTATACCATAGCCAGCCCGGAGACCTGACTGCTGTTACGTAATGCAACTAGATCTTTTTTCTGTCCCAAGACTGTGATTGGGAGAAGCAGCAAAACGTTTCAAACCTCCCAACTGTCCCTCATTTGGAACCAAATCCTTCTGTCCCGCTTTCCTCCTCAGCTGTCCCTCTTTTTGGTCTGATATATAGATATCAGGATATATAGGAGAAGTGATGGTGAAGAAAAAAAAAATATTCTGGGTTTAGCCAATCATTTTTGGCATACAAATTCTTAATGGGCACCTTACAAGGGCATGGCCGGGGTGTGTCCATTGCATAAATACAATGAGGGGAATTTATCAAAACTGGAGCAGACAAAATCTGGAGCAGCTGTGCATGGCAACCAATCAGATTCTCTGTTTCATTTTCAAAGCTTAAAGGAGAACTATGAGGTGAGTGAAAATTACTCCTCATAGTTTGAGCCGACGTGTGACAATGAAACTGTCACACGTCGGCCCAATAGATCGGGAAGTGAGTGAACACATACCGTCACTCGCTCACTTCTTGATCATCTCCCTGCAGACAGCGGTGACTGTCAGTCACGGCTCCCCGCAGGATTTCCCCCCTCCCCGCTCTGATCCTCCATCGCTGACTGGAGGAACGGACGGGGGAGGGGGCGGGTAAAGCTGGCTCTTCCTCCAGGTAGGCAGAGCCCGCTGTCACTCACACAGGTGGGTGGATCTCAACAGTAATGTCGGGATCCTTCCTGGCTGCGGCAGTCTCAATATACGGCGAGCTGTAGCTTGCAATATACTGAGCTTTGGGTCACGGAAGGAGGTTAGTATATGTCCCCCGGTGACCCTTAAGAGAACTTTAATGTTTAGCTCATTTCTCAGTCACTCTGCTCTCTCCTCTTATCATCATGCTCATTGTTAGCATAGGAGCACTGCAGAACAACCGATTGGCTGCTTGTGCGGCTTCCTCCTTTCCCAGTCAAAGTTCTGCCGTATAGGGAGCTGAAAGAGCCTGAGATCAAGTTATACTCAGGTACTGGCACTGGTTGCATCAATTGTTACTTTTTATCTGGCCTGAGCACAAATCTCCAATTGTAATGCAAGTGTCTAAAATAATATAAAACCAGGATCAGGATGATATATTTATTTTTTGTTTCAAATGTGTGTCTACTTTGAAAGAAATACTTCCCCAGAGATGTTCCTGAATGGCCACAACACCTTTACAGCTGCAGAAAGACCGCGGCCCTGTCTGCAAATGTAATCTTCATTTTATGATGTCTGTTTGCATCTTTACATCCACTCAATCTTGGTTCTTGGGTGTGCCCGCGTTTCCTCCGCACATGTCATAATTTAAGGTCTCTGGAACACAAATAAAACTCAACTCCTATGGAGAAGCAGGAGTTTCCTGTATGTCAGTCAGCATTATGTAGAGGGGGAGGTGGGGGCACAATATTATCGGTGGTGCCTCTGAACTCCATATCATCTGCTCTTCATAGAGAAAAACTGGTTAAAGGTGATAATTGGCTCCGTTAGGTGGTTTCATCACCTCATTATTGTAAAACCATATTGTGTTTTTGATTCGATTGTTCATGCTCTAGTTTGAACTGCATGCATTGTTTCATCGGCTTCTGAGTACTTTAAAATGGGGGTGGAGGGGAGGGGGGCAGCCCTGTATTTAAAGTGACACTAAACTCAGGAGTTAAATCTTAAAAATACATTCAAGCAGTGGCATCACAAGGGGGGTGCGGACCACACACGGATGTCACCATTGCAGGGGTGACAGCAAAATGACTGACAGTTATTTTGCTGTCACCCCCTTTAAAAAGTCAGGCACTCGGCCATGGACCGAGAGCCCGACAGTATCTGAGAGGAGGGGACCCGGCGGCATACTTCATCCCACCGGGTGAACGTCCCCTCCTCTCTCTGCCGGCGTCCATCACCAAGATGGCCGCTGGCAGGCGTCATTCAGACGGTCGCGCATGCACGATGGAGACACCAGGCCTCGGGACGTCCCTGCATTCAAGAACCTCAACTATTAATAAAAATGTATCTTATTTGTGTATCACTCGGCTGTAGATCCTCCAATCATCTCTGAATTGGTGCTGACACTGTCCTTCCTTCTGGAGGGGGGCTACTTTTGTTCCCCATGGTCCCTGTGTGTGTTGTAAAGTAGTCACCGCTCCAAGCTCGCTCCTGTGATAGACTATAACTTGAATACAAATCAGTAAACTAAACGTGAGATTGTATTCCATCACAGGAGTGAGCTTGGAGCGGTGACTACTTTGCAACTCACACAGGGACCATGGGGAACAAAAGTAGCCCCCCTCCAGAAGGAAGGACAGTGTCAGCACCAATTCAAAGATGATTTGAGGATCTACAGCCGAGTAATACACAAAAAAGAGACATTTTTGTTAATAGTTAGGGTACTTGGATGCATTTTTAAGGTTTAACTCCTGAGTTTAGTGATACTTTAACAGTACACATGCTTTTATGTACCAATGTAAGAACTATTTAATAACACAATATCATGTATTCTGATACAGGCGTCTGAACAATAATGAGATCTCAGCTCTGGAAGCTACTGGTCTCTTCAAGAAACTTCCGCACCTCAAGAAGATGTAAGTGGCTCAAACTGACAGGTCACAGTCTGCAAGGCGTATTTATGTATAATTGCTGTTAATAATTAGTTTCATCCATGTACGTTTCCACTGAAAACCTGTTGCATTGGTAAAGTTTTGGTAGCTGAGTTGGCTGCAGGTTATATTTTATTTTCCAATAGTTTTTACTAAATATAGTTCTAACAAACAGAGAAAGGAATGTCCATGATAAAGCACAGTAATGTTTGTGGATTGGAATTTTATAATGACAAACACTTCACTAAAGGAAACCAGCTTGGAGAGAAATATTCTAGCTGTGTGATTTCTATACATTCTGAGTCACAGACCTGGATCATGCATGCAGCAGAGGTCAGGGGCTAGTGATCATACTTAAATATACGTGATTTAGAAATCATTGATGCCAGGATCAGACAGACACGCATGTAGCATCATAAGACGTGATCCGCAGTGGCAGCCTGGGATCAGAATTTCTCTTGACAGTTTCCCTTTAAAAGGGCAAAATGATCATCAACCTGTTTTGGTTACCAATAAAGTATTCCAGAAGATCTTATAGAGAAATGATTATGTACTGAGAGATCACAGCAGCTTCCTATACCCTCTCTACTAGTAATGTTCGACAAATACTTCACTAGAGTGTCTCCCATTCTATGGAACTCTCTACCCCAACCTGTCCGTCTATCTCCCACACTGACTGCCTTTAGGCGATCCCTTAAGACTCATCTCTTCAGGGAAGCCTATCCCACCTCAACCTAACCACTGAACAATCACTTTCTCAAACAATCACCCCCGCACAGCTACCTCCTCATGTATCACTTGCCCCTCCCTTTTAGATTGTAAGCCCTCACGGGCAGGGCCCTCCTTACCATCTTGTCTTAAATTGTATTGTGACTGTAATGTCTTCCCTATATTGTAAAGCGCTGTGCAAACTATTGGCGCTATATAAATCCTGTATAATAGTAATAAAATACCTTGGTGGTCAGATGAAGAGTCTGGGCCTTGCAACAGACGATAATAAAAAAAAACCATTACATCTATTTTAACTACAACTTCATGTGGTTACCTGGCTCTCAACAGTATAGACTGCCATCTAACATTTGCATGACTATCTTTCAGCAACTTGAGCAACAACAAGATCACAGAGATTGAGGATGGAGGATTTGAAGGGGCAACATCAGTGAGCGAGTTACACCTGACAGCTAATCACCTGGAGTCAGTGCGTAGTGCCATGTTCCGTGGTCTGGAAGGGCTGAGGACACTGTGAGTAGAGAAATATATTTTGTTCAGTGTAAGCATTAAGGCCTGCGTTGACAGGCTTTTGCATTCCCTTAGTTGTCTATAGGAATGCACAACCCGCTTCAAGCAGGTCAGATGCAAGCCAGATGGAGATCAACTGCAGCTCAGATGCACCTGTCAGTAAATTCTGAATGACCTCAGAAGCATCTCAAACTAATGCCATTGACACAAGCCCAAAGTTCATCAACACAGAACCTTATAAATAGGTTGCAGTTTTGTGCATCATGTATTGTATAGATGGAAGGGAATGCTGTAAATGGAAAATTGTATTCTCCTGGTTATATCTGGCAGGTATACCTTCCTGGACAGTTAAGTGTTAAATTCAGAGTAAACTCTTCTGCACAACAGTATTGCACATGAATGAACATTATAAGCAGTGGCTAATTTCCCGGTTAGGGCTGGATGTCGCTCTCAATTTTCATTCCAGGTCATTCAAAAAAACAAAGCTAATTGTTGTGCATGTAATTTCTGCTTCACAGGATGCTCAGAAATAACAGGGTCAGCTGTGTGCACAATGACAGCTTCACCGGCCTCAGGAACGTCCGCCTCTTGTCCCTGTATGACAATCAGATCAGCACAATCACTCCTGGAGCCTTTGACACACTGCAGTCCCTCTCTACACTGTAAGTAGAAGTTAGCTGGAGGTAAGAAGAGAAGAGCAAACAGTTAGGAATTGAGAATCATACGTGGCATGGACTTAGCTACTTAGCTGCCTTGGGCAACATAGACCCGTTCTTTGCTAGAGTTTTCATAGATTAGTCCATTGAGGATTCATTGTTGGATGTTCTTGTGTGCCATAGTTTGTCTTAAAAAACCTTATTTGCCATTGCGCCATTTTTGGAATTGAACCTTAGGCAATATTAGGTAGACTGCAGAATGTGCGATAGTGATTCTTTGGCAAACATTATACATATTACATTGTTATCATATTCTGAACAAGCCGTAAAAGCACTTTAAAACAAGTCCTCATTCGCTCCTGTAGTTATAGGCATTGTGGGGAAATTTAGCTTCAAATTTCACAACAGTGACACTGAAGTCACAGCTTCTTTCTCCTTGGCAGCCCACTGAAACCTGACTTTAGAGTCTCTTTTCGTGATCTCTAAGGATCAATTACATCACAGTACTTGCAGCTAGAGAGATCAGGGATGGCTTGTCTTAAGGCCCCATTCACACAGGTGCGTTCATTCCCTCTCAGCAGGGGATCCAGAGACTGATCAGATCAGAATGGAAATTAATGTCTCATATGTAACATCCTACAACGAATGGAAATGTAATTACATTTAATTGCAGTAATTTTAGAATAAGGTGTATGTTCATTTAAAATCTTTATGAGCACATGGGAAGAATGCATCGCTTGTTTTAGCGGTGTATGAACAAATGGCTCTTTTCCAACAATACTGTCATGCAATACTTTATATCTTTACAGAAACTTGCTGGCCAATCCTTTCAACTGCAACTGCCAGCTGGCCTGGCTTGGGGATTGGCTGAGGAGAAGGAAGATAGTAACAGGAAACCCTCGCTGCCAGAACCCAGACTTCCTGCGCCAAATACCACTGCAAGATGTGGCCTTCCCTGACTTCAGATGTGAAGAAGGTTTGTTGTCAGATATTTTAGCTGCTCTGTATCACCTTCCATAGTTTTTTTTTTGTAGACACAAATCTGTAAATCACCACAGTCCAAGGACACTGCAAATGCTGGCTTTGTAATATCTGCAATGCTTTGTATTGCTTGTACCCGAGATGTGATGTGTAAAACACTAAACCCTGCTAGGCATTTCACTGCATATTCACTGCCTCAAATGTTTGATCTAGTGATCACTGCCAACTGCAGCTACCGGTAGCAGTGATTGCTTTCGAGATAGCATGAAATCTCCCTGGTGGGTCCAGGGCTTCCTATAGGAGTCTTGCTCAATGAAAAAATGTATTTTAATTGCTAAAATACCTTACAAATCCTCATAAAGTGAATCTGTGTTTTGCCCATGCAAGGCAGAGCAACAGGTTAAATTAAATGCAGATTAATTCAGCCACCAGGAGTGAAAGTGTTGGGAATTGTAGCTTACACAGGGCAATCGACTTCCAATGTGACAGTGCTAATTGGCGCAGGTGAGTTGCATGCTCCTCCATACCTGGAAGTACCTAGTATCCAGTGCACAACAGAGTGCTAGGGGATCAAAGGAAAGGGAAGTATATACTGTTTGGGATTGAGGGGGGTAAAAAGAAACCTATTGCTTTGCCCTGACAGGAAAAAGCACAATTTATAAACTGGCCATGCAGAGTAGAACAGTTAGATGTGAATGCAGAATCCAGTCTCCTTGCGATATCTCATCTGCCAATGGGGGATTGAGAGGGAGCTGTGGGTACACAGTGCCAGGAAATATCAATCAGGTAGGGTCTTCCTGTCCCGGAGGACAACAGAAAACGAGAGGGACTCTCTACAAGATGAGAGACTAGAGTGTCCTCACTAGAAGATGTGTCTCTATTGGAAGAGTAACCATCTTGTTCAAGTGACATCTTTCCATGTAGGTGACACTAATCACAAGGAACAAAGAACTTGACAGAGATTCTAATCATTCTCTTGTTTTTCCAAAAACTAAACCTTTTGGCTATACACACACTTTACTGTCTATATTTAATGCTATATTGTCGTTTGACAGGTCAGGAGGAGCTGAGCTGTGCTCCACAGCCTCTGTGTCCTCAGGAATGCACCTGTCTGGATACAGTCGTACGTTGCAGCAACAAACACCTATTGTCACTGCCAAAAGGTATCCCCAAGAACGTCACTGAACTGTAAGTATTATTCCAGGAGTCATGTACATAAAACCCCTGCTGACGGAAATATGAAGGCTTGCTACTGCTGATCTTTTCTTCGGTAAATGTTAGTTGCTTGGCTGTCATGCTAATCCACTCAGGGCCCCAGAACAAGAATGCGGAATTAGGAGTTACTTACAGGCTTATTCACAAAAGGGTGAAGGGTTTGGAGAATGGAGGAGAAGGGAACAATCTAAGACAACATCGCTGAACTGGAAAAATTGTCAATTCAGTTCACTTTTCAGCTCAGCGATGTTGTCCTAGATTGTTCACTTCTCCTGCCTTCCTCAAACTCTTCACCCTTTTGTGAATATCCCTTTTAATTTGCTGCCTGCTTGTTCCAGGTGTGTTGACTTAGTATTAAAGTCAGAGACAGCGACACAACTAGTATTCTGAGCAGGACATGGACAGTGGCAACCTACCTATTTCTGTCAGTACAGGTGAATACACGCAGAGCAACCAATCAAAAATCCTTTCAGTTATTCTGCTATATGAAGTGCCTGAAAGAACAACTCTTTTTTTTCATTCCCTAGAAACCCTTCAGCTTCTCATTTTAATTTTCTAGCAACAGGAAGTGGAGATACTGACTGGTTGCTAGGAGGAAATTACAGTTCATTCAGACACTTCATACATGGGGCCCGGTTTCCACACTGATGTAGAGGGATGAAATATGAAATCTGGTTCCAATGTACTCTTTAATGCTGCTGTTGTTGCGTATTATCTGCTTCATTTATCATTTATCTTAAGTTTGCTGACTAAGTCCTGCACTGGAAAATGACAGTTGCAGAATGATTGATTGAACCTGACTAAGAGTCGTGGAGCAACAGAGAATAGTTCTTAAGAAAATATCACATGATGCCAACTTGTTAAATCACCTCAATACCAGCACGTTACACCTTTCCAGGCCCTTTGTCAGTGTTGTGATAGTTTGAATGAGAATTGTCTGGTCATGCAACGCTGTACCTGAATGAATTTTATAAACAGAGCTTTCTTTTGGTGGTATTATTCTTTATAGTTCTCCTTTAACCTTTAAAAGTTGCCCACTGCAGCTAGTCTTCCGTTATTAGGGTAATAAAACCTCCCAAAAGATGAAATGCATTGTACTAAAATTACATTGTGTGCAATAACTGGATGTCATGAATAAACCAAAAACAGTACAACAATTATTCATGCTCAGTAGTGCTTTATGATTTAACCCCACCCCAAAAACAAATCCATAATCATTGATGGTCAGTGGCATTTTTAAACCTCTTACCCACCACCCATTACTGGTGGTCAGTGGCCCTCATAAATCTACCACCTTGAATCACAACCCTTCAACCATCTACCAACCAGAGCAGATTGGTGGTAGATGGGGTAATATTAATAGAGGTAGGAGTAGATATTTCTTTGTTACAATATATTTTTATGCAGTGTAAATCTATAAGTGATTAACTTCTGATTTTTGTAAAATGTTCCTGATATGTATACTTGTTCCCTGTCAATGCCTCAGATTGTTTGTGCCAGAGCTTCAGTAGTGTGCTTAAATGAACACAGAAATTGTTCACAGAAGACTTATAATGGAGTTACATAGATGGCAGATCTGTTTTCTCTATAGAAAAGGAAACGGTTCTTGCGCCATATCCATATATCTTCAAAATCAGGAATTAAAAGAAACCTATTCATGTATACAAAAAAATCCTATGGGGACAGGATGTGAGTTGGCAGTCAAATGTATAGCTACGTTATCAGAAACACATGGGGACTTGGGTGCTTAGCATGCACCTGTGCTATGTTTGCACTGAACTCGGTTAATAATCTTATCATGGTTATATGTAATGTAATAAGGTGTATTTGCACTCTGTTAAGTGAATACTAAATAATTATGATTTTCCCATTGCAGATACCTGGATGGTAATCAGTTCACAATGGTGCCTGCCCAACTATCTACATTCAAATTTTTACAGCTGGTGTAAGTATATAGTCATACACACACATATATATATCAGGCTGGGGGGCTGCAGAATGATCTGGGGGCTGATTGTAGGACATTTTTGTAGGCGAGGCCACTGATGTGTGCTTTCACCTCTGTGTCCCTCCTGGCCCTGCGGACCTTACTACTATATGCAGCACTGTCAGTACTGACATATTAAATCTGAACTCCAGACAAACAGCTAATTATACAGATCAAATATGTATAAGGGAGCTGGTTTACTTACTAAAGTATTTGTATTTCGGTCTATCCGTTTCTGACATTTACACAGCCCTGCTACACAGCTCAGCCAGTCCGTTGACACCACTTTCTCTGTTATAGACTACTGTATAGAAGGAATAGAGTGATGCAGTGGCACCACAAGGGGGGTGCGGCCCGCACCCGGGTGACACCAAAATGACTGACAGTCATTTTGGTGTCACCCCCTCTAAAAAGTTGGGCACTTGGTCATGGACCGAGAGCCCGACAGTGTCAGGAGAGAGGAGGGGATCTGTTGGCATACCTCATCACGCTGGGTGAACGTCCCCTCCTCTCTCTGCCGGCGTCCATCACCAAGATGGCCGCGCACGCGTGATGACGACACGGCGGGGTGTTACCCGGTCTAGAGACCGGGTGACACCCGGCCTTGGGACGCCCCTGGAGTGGTGTTCTGTCTTCTGCCCCAGGCTGCTGAACAGACAGTGAAAGAGCAGCAGCAGCACACTGATGAAGTCGCCCCTCTACTCATATTTGCATTCAGTACTCCTTATTGGATTACAGTGCTGCCACTCCTCCTAGTATGAGCTCCGCTGCATAGTGGAATGCAGGAAGTTGATACCAAATCAATAATTGTATAAAAAACATTGAATGATATAAAAAAAATGTGAACTGTATATTACCGAGTATCTAAGATTGCTATTTCTTTTTAATCCAATTTTCTTTAGATGTGACCCCTTTGCAGGTGATGAGAGCTGCAAAATAATACCACTGTGCTAAATCACAGAACTGTAGAAATAGTTCCTATAGAATAGACATGGGATATCTGCTGCTCTTCAGCGATTAGGGAAATCCCAAATTATCTGCTCACTAGTGTCTGGCATGTTGTGGGAGGACTGATTAGAGAGGGCTCCATGTCCATGGCAGGTTCACACCATTTTCCGTACCAGTTCCAGTGCAGTATATTTCCGGTCTGGTCTGGTCTGGAACGGGCTGCGCTGGTGTAAACAGAGCCCAGAAATAGCATAGGGATACATTAGGATGCATTTTGGGTCCAGAAACAATCTGGTCTGAAGATGATCTGGATGTGGTGTGAATGGACCTCCAAGCATGAAACTTGATCACTGTGATTCTGTCTCAGTTACATGCTGGAGAAGGTGATGTTTTAATCCTTTACTATGTTTCTAGAAGTGGCTTCTTTCCGAGTTTGTCGGACTTCTTTTATTACAGCTACCTAGGTCAGTAACCAGGCCAGGGAAAAGCAGCAGGTTTACTTCAATCCCACCAGCAGCATACACTTTTCTTTTATTAGCTCCCTCGCTGCTTTATTCTGCATCAGTAGGCGATGGGAATACCCAGTACTTCCAGGTATGGAGGAGCATCTGACTCTCTCCATGTGACAACACTGGGCCAGTCAGAGTTGTCACAGGTCCGTGTGTAAGCTGTGACTCATATCTTTTGCAGGGCTTTTCTTTTATGCCTGGCCTCTGAAGTAAGAAAGTATACATATCTGTGGAGGTCTACAATGATCCTACATGGGCAAAGCACATATTCAATTTACAATTGTATTTCTTTATAGTGCTCATAGAAACAGTGAAGCAAAACCAGATGATACCCAGAAATGTAACCAATGTGTTTAGGTCTCATGTGCAACATGTTTATTATTAATTTTAATAACATATCTCATGGACACTGTTACTACTAGATCATATCTATGGATTATCATCTCATTACATGTGTCTGGATTCCTTTATTTGTTATTTACCAGTGATAAGTCATTGTGATGCTGAATGCATTTCTTTATTATTCTGACCCATCTCCCATCTCTCTCAGAAATCCCTACCTTTTGTTTCCTTTGTTATCCCTGAAAAGTAATATCTCTCCTCCTTCACCCCAGGCATTGTCATAATATATCCCATCTAGTCTTTTTTTTACAACACAGTATATCATTGTGTTTTTCCCATAGCTATTTTAATCATTTGCGTGTTGGGTAACTATATCTTCCTTATGAAAAGGTCACCAGCATCAGTGTAGTGTTCCTCTGGACAGATTTTCTTTGATTTGGGCATTCGATCTCACATCTTCAATACTAGAGGAACATATTCGCAGGCAGGTCAGCGTATTTACCACCTAAACATAGTGCTATGAACACTGTCCCTCTCCCTCACTGTCCCTCTGGACAGATTTTCTTTGATTTGGGCATTCGATCTCACATATTGGAGGTTTATTCTCGCAGGCAGGTCAGCGTATTCACCACCTAAACATAGTGCTATGAACTCTGCGTGTTCAGGTAAAGATATGCTCCCATCAAAACATTTTAAATTGAGTCAGGGGATGTGGCATACAGTACCTTCTGCGCAGCCCCAGTTGGCTGCCAGCCTCACTAGCTAAGGTGCTTTGGCATCCACTCTCCTTATCTTCTGAATGTTCCTGAATCTGTTGTGAAAATGTATTGTGTTCCAATGTTTCCAGGATTGCCCTCTCTTGGTGCCGTAGCACAGTCTTGCCCACACACTGTAGCAGCAGAGGGTTGTTGCACAGAATTCCCCAGCCCCTGTACCCCTCCACTACCAGCTCTCATCCACCTCGCCCCTCTCTCTAAAGGGACTATACATGTAAAACTATCCGCACATGCTTTAGTCTGATCATATGTGTGAAAATTGCAACTGTAAGTGGGTATCATTTGATTCCTTTCAATCAGTTTTCAGATCAAAAAAAGAGTTCAGATCGAGAAAGGAAGCAGTCAGGCGTCCGTGATGTTTTTAAATGCTTTTTCTACTCAATCTTTTACGCCATGGAAAACAAATATATAAAATTATGAGAAATTAGAAATATATGGAGGCTGTAAAACAATACTTCTAAATGATCCAAACTGGTTTAAAAAGTGTGGCAAGCTTACAGCACAGTAGCGCAAATGAACAGGTTCACTTAAATGTCAGTACAGTGGGCACAAGCTGCACCATCCTGTGCCTTCCCTTTATTCCCACATGGCTCTGTTTGTTTGCTAGGAGCAAAGAAATGAAGCCCTGTGCAAGCATCAGCATTGTCATGTAAGAGGGGGAGTGAATGTTCCCCTATACCTAGATGTCCCGGGGATTTCTCTTTGCTCCCTGCAGCGGAAAAAAAAAGAGCAGCAAGGGAATGGAAAGATGGTAAACATAAGCTGTTGTTGAAGTACAACATTAAAGGAAACCTGTCTCTTTGGTCTGCATTGTTTCCTTTAAGGTAAGTATTTGTAAAATGAATACCGTGATCTGAAGTTGGGGGTTATAGAAAAACCTAACCCACTGCTAACATTGCTGCACGTATATATCAGCACAGACTTACTAGTTAAAGTAATCTGGAGTTTCTGACTGTTGCAATGATTCCTTTATAAGATTAAGTAAAATCAAACACAGAAAAAAGAAAAGAAACAGGGGTCCCCTCGCTGACAGAGCGCATTTCTGAGGCAAGGTGGTTTATCGTGCGGATTTAGCTGCGTGATATCCCACATTTGCATAGATTTGCATTCAAGTCTATGGAAGCTGTTCACACCTTTGCAATTTGTCACGCGGTAGAAATCACCTGTCGCGCAAAAAGGTGTAGGAGCTATTTTCGGGCAGTTGTCGTTTGATTTGGGTCCCATAGACATCTCTATGCATTGAAAACCGTGCGACAACCGCACGGTTCTCAAAGCAAAATCGTGCAAACAAAATCGCACGACGACCGCACGAAAACAGCTCACCTGCTCAATCGCCTAGGTATGAACATAGCCTCATTTAAGCAGGATGGAGGGAATGTTTCTATATTCACTGCAAGCTGTGTGCCGGATCTCGTTACACTTGGGAGCCACACTGCTATTCTGTGACATTTTATAACATGCATGTAAGCACGGGTAGGGAATGAGAATGTTACATGTTACTAATTGTGCTGATCTCTTGGATTTTACAGAGACCTGAGCAATAACAAAATCAGCTCCCTCTGCAATTCATCCTTCACGAACATGAGTCAGCTCACCACATTGTAAGTTCATGTCTGGTGACATAGGGTCTTGTGTGTGTAGTGCATGTGAAGAGTCTGCCTCAGCCTAACCTGCAGGTGTTGCAAATATTTTACGTTTAAGTCATATATCCTTTTGTGAATCATCAGATTTTTCCAAGCAGAAGTCTTGACCAGTCTTAGATCACTTATTATATATACACTGATCTGCGTCTGGGATAGGCAGGAGCATCCCGAGGCTCTCTTTTCCTTGAATGACTACAAATGTTAAGGATAACAGACCATGCTGGCACCTGTGGTGCTTCAGCAACTAGCTTGTTCATGGCAAAACGGTGCCAGCATATACTTTTTTTTTGTATTAAATAAAACAGAGAAACCTCACATCAATATGTCTGTGAAGGTTCTCATTCATCCAGGTCATGGTACATCTGTAAAAAATAAGTCGAGGCAACTGGTCTTGCTGTATTTTTCTTGAAGACGTTTCACTGATCATCCAACCAGCTTTCTCAATTCAGAATGACTTGTACAAAAAATTCTATGGGAATAAATATGGTGAATGTTGCTCCAATCCACATCAATGTTCCAGACCAGAGACATCAGATTTTATTTTGAAGTGGTAACGCATCGGGCGCCTTTCACTTTTTATAAATGTTATGTAAAATATGAAGATAAGAAAACATCTTTTTTTTATTTTGAAGTAGAATCCTGTTCAGTGCCTTTTTACTTTTTATAAATATCAACATTATATCAAACATGAAGATAAAGTAAAAGAAGGAGTCTGTTTTATTTTGAACTAGCAACCCTGTTCAGTGCCTTTTTACTTTTTTATAAATATCAATATTATATCAAATATAAAGATAAGAAAGAAGGCCAAATATTGGTAGGATAGTAGAAAAATAAAATACAGACCTTAAGGGAAATCAAATGAGAATAAAGCCACATAAATCCGATAAAGCAATCACCTTTTATATCTGTGCTTTTCCTTATACCAATTCACATTTCAGAATATGATTTTGTATTTGTCCTCTGTGTATTCAATTAGATTTCAGTCCTTAAATTCACATTGGTGCATTCAAAACATCAATTGGACTGTCTACTTCCAAATATTTTCAGTTGATGACTACGAGTACTCGCAATGTTTCTTTGTGTCATGTATAAACTTTTAATGACTAGGAAAAATTACCCCTTGATAGATTTCCCGCTGCCAGCTTTTCTTCCTATCACCAATTAATTAGATATCCACTTTTCTATAGATGTAAGGAAATCTCTCCTGCATGTTAATTTAGATACAAATTCCATCTCCAGTAAAAAAAAAAAATGATTATCTTCTAGATTTCTTTTTATAAGGATAGCATCTATAAGAATGAAAATCTGCTGTTTGGTTAGACTGTGTTATGAGAAGTCAGTATGTTACAGAAAGTAATTATCTGCGTGCTTTTATCCCACCAGGATTCTGAGTTACAATTCTCTGCGCTGTATTCCTCCTCTGGCATTTGAGGGACTGCGATCCCTGAGGCTTCTGTAAGTATGACATTTTGTTTGTTGTGTCGGGTGTCCCTCCTGAGCCCGTGTTTTGGGAACACCTGCCTCATGTGGTGAGTGAATTTCTAACACAGATTATCTGCTTCAGATCTGTCCACGGGAATGACATCTCCAGCCTGCCAGAAGGCATCTTTTCTGATGTCACCTCCCTGTCTCACCTGTAAGTATAGCTGAAAGGGGTACTGCGCGTTTTTATTATCTTCAGTAGTCTGACAGCCAGATGTTATCATAAAACTGCTCTTCCATAACGAGGACTGGACTCCGCTAGTCAGTGTGGGAAGACAGTTGGCGTTTGTGGTTGTAATTTAGTTTAGATTACTTTAGACATATTTCTCCAAATTACATAAAGATCCCATGACCAGGCAAGCTCAGATCTGAAGCATTATATATAATAAGATCACATCACATTATATAATAAAGATACAGGTTCACATGGAAGATCAAGACTGGCAGCTTGGGACCTCTCATGTGTATGTGTACCAAATATGAACTATACGTATTAACTAGGGTTGCACAGATACCAAGTACAGTACTCGGTACAAGTACATGTACCGATACTTTTGAGCTCCAAGACCACACTAGAGAAAAATTCAAAAGTTAGGAGGCAGCTGTCATGTGTAAGGAGCACACGGAGCTCCTGGGATTTGTACATCTCTGTTTTAATTCACGGTTTTGTTTTTATAAATATAAATAATGGGATTTTCAGATATTAGTTTTGCGAGTACTGGTACTTGCCGAGTACTGGTACTTGCCGAGTACTTACAGGTACAAGTACTGATACATTTGTTTATTGTCATGTGACAGATTTTCTAAAACAATACAGATTAATGATTTCAGGACAGTGGTGGAGTGCCAGAGCCCGGTCCCAGCTGCAACCCTGGTAGTTCTCATGAAAATGCCAAGTATCTGCACTGGTACTCGAAAAGTATCTGTGCATCCCTAATATTAACTGAACTGCATGCTAAAAATATTTTCTAAAGACAAGGGTGGGTCTCGTTATAACTGTTTCCATGTAAGATTCACAAATTTTTCCAAGTGGATTCAGTTGGAAAAATGGCTAAATCTTGAGTGAAAGCACTTATAAATAGAACTTCTTTCTCAAAAAGCCCATTAACTTCCATCAAAAAGTTGAGGGCTGTGTCTGTGCTGACCCCTTATCTGATATCCACAATGCTGAGATGGACGGCCTGTTAGGTTGGCAGTGTGTGTGTGGCTTTTGATTTCTTTTTAGTGAGTTTAACAGCAGAATCATTTTTCTGATCATTCATTTATCTCACACAGCCCAATAAGTGAGTGATGCTGGTCCATGAGTGACTTTTATAGCTGCACAATCGCTTATATTATAAGGTGCGGACTGACTGCTTCAAAGCTGCAGATAACAACAAAAGGATCCCAGAGATGTAATTCGTACTGTATCTTTCTACAGCTCCATGTGTTAAGAAAAAAATTAAATGGATGTATGGTGAGGTGAGGACACAAGTTGGATTCATTGGGCTTCATTTATAAAACTTCTGTTTATAAAAACGTATAGCCGGGCGAATTCCATTTGCACAGCACTAGCACCCCTAGATGGCGCTGACGAGTATAGGAATTGTATATCTATATAATATAACAGTGTATTCATCAGAGACCTCTAGGGACATTAGTGCCGTGCGAATGCCATCCACTGGGTAGAAGTTTTATTCATGTAAGTGTCCACCGATTAATAGGAAGGATGGGGGGGAGGAGGCTACTTCCTTGTAATATTTAGAAGAGAACTATGAGGTAAGTGTTTTTTCCCCATAATTCTCTTAAGGGTCACGGGAGGATATATACTAGCATCCTCCCGTGACCCAAAGCTCAGTATATCGCAAGCTACAGTATACTGAGACTGCCGCAGCCGGGACGGATCCCAACATTACTGTCGAGATCCACCCTGCTGCATGATTGACAGCGGGCTCTGCCTATCTAGAGGTAGAGCCAGCTGTGCCCACCCCCTCCTCCGTTCATTCCTCCAGTCAGCGCTGGAGGATCGGAGCGGGAATCCCTGCAGGGAGCTATGACTGGCAGTCACGGCTCTCTGCAGGGAGATGATCGAGAAGTGAGCGAGCGACGCTATGTGTTTTGATTTGTTCTCCCTTAAAGATTTATAAAGTTATTTGCAGCCGCCACCAGGAGACTTCACTTTGGAAGTCGTGTTGCTTATTAAAGCTGTAGTTGAAGCGCTCTCTGTAGTTGAAAGCAGTCCTGTCCGTACACAGTTTCTATAACACCAGAGCATGTTTGGGGTGTCTCACTCACTTCACACAAAGTCCGAGGCTGTTTTAGGATCACACAGGACTAAGGATCCATTCTGTGTTTGCTGTTATTAATTGTGGAATCCGTTGTAAAGATGTAAGTGAATTGTGCCCTTTCACCTCCACCTGTTCTGTTTTGCTTCCTCGTTGCCTTTGTAGTTCATATCCATTGAGAAGGTTTTGTGCTTGGCTCAAGGGAGCGCAGCCAAACCGGTTCCGTCTTTTTACTCGATCTTTGTTTAATTTGGCGCACGGAGTAGCTGCTTTTTAATGCTTAACAAAGACAATTCATCCACGCTGCAGAGAATCTCCAGGAATTCTTTTCTTTACAGTGTGATTTATGACGGCTGAGCATACTGTGCCTCACAGCTGTTAAACAAAGGGAAAATAGCAGCGAGTAAGCTTTTAGGTGCAAATGTTAACGCTGCCCTAAGCTATTCATTTTATTCCACTCGGCTGTTCCAGAGCGCCACCTGGTGGAACACCTCTTGTGACAATGTAACCGACATGTAGTAATACAAATTCAGCAATGAGTTTATGTATCTAACGTGATTCCAAACTATCTGGCATTACATTTATAAAGCTGTATAGATGCATTGCGCTATATTGGTCAGGCAGGAGTGACCGTGTATGCAGCATCCTAGATGATCTCTAAATTATCATGGGGACAGTATAACCATACAGGGATTAAAGTCATCAAAAAGTCCTCCAACAGAATCAGTGCATAGCACAGCAGAGGCTTATTAAAACAGAATGGGGGGAATTTATCAAAACTGGAGCAGACCAAATCTGGAGCTGCTGTGCATGGCAACCAATCAGCTTCTCTCTTTCATTTTCGAATCTTAACTGAACAAACTGAAGAGGGAAGCTGATTGGTTGCCGTGCACAGCTGCTCCAGATTTGGTCTGCTCCAGTTCTGATAAATTTCCCTCACTGTATTTACATGTCTCATTCCATCACATATCCCAAAAATAAGAGGATTATTCCTCACTTCAGGACAGTAGGCCGAGTCATGCAAATCATCGCTTTACACCGCCAAATGCGCACCCAGAACCGCTGGTGTATAGTGCAAATATAACCTAATATTATAGAGCCATTTACTCCAAACTCTATATGCGGAAAAAATGGCTTGAGTGGAGTAGGGCTTGGAATCCAACTGGGTATTATAACCAAATCTACATTATCAAGAAATATTATGCTGTCATTCTAAGATAGAAAGGTGACCGTGAGCTTGAAAATTCTACTATTTCTAGGAATGCACAGATACCAAGTACAGTACTCGGTACAAGTACAGATACTTTTCCAGCTCCAAGACTAGACTAGAGAAAAATTCAAGTTAGGCAGCTGTCATTTGTAAGGAGCACACGGAGCTCCTGGGATTTGTACATCTCTGTTTTAATGTATGATTTTGTTTTTATAAATATAAATAAAGGGATGCACAGATACCAGTTTTGTGAGTACGAGTACTGGTACTTGCCCAAGTACTCACAGATACAAGTACTGATACAGTTTTGTTTATAGTCATGTGACAGTTTTTCTAAAACAATACAGACTAATGATTTCAGGACAGTAGTGGAGTGCCAGAGCCCGGTCCCAGCTGCAACCTCTGCAACCCTGGTAGTTCTCATGAAAATGCCAAGTATCGGCACTGGTACTCGGTGCATCACTGATTTCTAGTCCACTGGTATACAGTGAGTGGAACTCTAGCTGTTGTCTATCTACAAGCCCCAACATGGCCTATCTGCTAAAGCGTTTATAATGTGCACCAGGGCATGCTGAGTCTTGTAGTTTCATAGCAGAATAAAGAGATCTGCTGTGTATCAGTGCTCACCTATCAGTAAATGGTCTATAAACGCCTTTAGCAGTCACAAGTTCTTGCCTGTAGCCTGATTTAAAAAATAAAAATAAAAAAACAAAAAACCTATAACAAATAAATGATCACATATATATTGCACATACACAGGACTTTTTATATCAGTCCCAATGCCATGAAGGAGCTCACAATCTAACATTTCTTCACACTCATACACACTAAGTGGTCCTTTAGTGTCCACAACCACAACCTAGCATTTAGCTGCCTTTTCTCTTGTACAGATTTTCTTTAGATGGGCTGTATAGTCTTTTCAGTGTTCACTGGACATACACTGTACTTTCTCTGTTATTATTATACAGGATTTATATGTATGTTACTATATACTGTCAGAAAACAAAGGGGCGACACAGATTACTTTTCTCAACCTGAAACAGTCCTTAACTATAATAATACATTATACTAGCATATGGCTCTGTTTTGGTGGATCTTTATTAAAGGAGAACTATGGGGTAAGTGTTTTTCCCCATAGTTCTCTTTAGGGTCACAGGAGGACATATACTAACCTCCTCCCGTGACCCAAAGCTCAGTTTATAGCGGGCTATTGCCTGCGATATACCGTGAACGCCACAGCCGGGACGGATCCCGACATTACTGTCGAGACCCACCCAGCTACGTGAGTGACAGCTGGTTCTGCCTATCTAGAGGCAGAGCCAGCTGTGCCCGCCCCCTCCCCATCTGTTCCTCCAGTCAGCGCTGGAGGATGGGAGAGGGAAGGTGACTGACAGTCACCGCTCACTGCAGGGAAACGATCGGAAGTGAGCGGATCGGCGGCATGTTTCTGCTCACTTCCCGATTGATAGAGCTGACCTGTGACAGCTTCTTTGTCACAGGTCGGCTCTAACTATGAGGATGAGTGGAAATCACTCACCTCATAGATCTCCTTTAAAAATAAATCATGAGAGCCTGTGACAGGTCTGTAACATACTGAACTGCTTGTTCTAACCAGCATTGTTTGGGGAATTTCTGTTTGCTAGAGCGATTGGAGCCAACCCTCTGTACTGCGACTGCAACCTGCGCTGGCTGTCAAACTGGGTGAAGACTGGCTATAAGGAGCCCGGCATCGCCCGCTGTACAGGACCCGCAGAAATGGATGGAAAGCTGCTTCTCACTACACCAGCCAAGAAGTTTGAATGCACAGGTAGTGCCATTCACATCTGTTTTCACAATGGCTTTTTTTAAAAGTGAATTTTACAAATGAATTTTGCTTAGGGGCTCGTATACAATGATGTATGGTAATATGGTAATATGGTAATCTGTGCATAAAAATGCAGTTCGGTGTAAAAATTAGCAGTTATCACTCAGATTTATTCACGCATAGACTTAAGGATGAGCTGCTTTTGTACCCCACTGGCATGCAGTTTCAATTAGGCTTGTAATACACGAGCACCAAGTGCACAGCACAGTATTAGGGCTTAGATTTTCTGAACAGATTTAGCATTTGCAGCCCCTTTTAGCACAAAGTAAAGCATATATTTTGCTAAGACCTCATTTGTCCGGAGTTGTTTGGTTCAAAAACCTTTTCAGCCCCGGGTATCAAAATCAAGTACTGGACGCTTCAATTTAATACATGTGTGTATGGGGCCCTAATTCAGTTTAATGGGCAACTTCAAAACATATTTTAAAAAATGTGCATGCTTATCACTCAGATGTCCAGATCTTCAGATCCTGAAAGGGACAGAGCTTCATGAGTTGGCTGTGGAATGAAACAGATAATAGGTTGATCGAGATTGGAGTTTAGAAGATTCTTCCACAAAGTAAAACATCCGTGTAAGAAGGTTCTGATGAAAGCAGTCCTTCCCAGCAGTGGCATCACAAAGGAGGTGCGGCCCGCACCCGGGTGACACCATTGGAGGGGTGACACCAAAATGACTGACAGTCATTTTGGTGTCACCCCCTCTAAAAAGTCAGGCACTCGGTCATGGACCGAGAGCCCGACACTGATGGGAGAGGGGAGGGGACCCGGCGGCATACCTCATCCCGCCGGGTGAACGTCCCCTCCTCTCTCTGCCAGCGTCCATCACCAAAATGGTAGCTGGCAGGCGTCAATTAGATGACCACGCATGCGCGATGACGTCACTGCGGTGTGTCACCCGGTCTCCGCTCTGGGTGACATCCGGCCTCTATACGCTCCTGCTTCACCGATAATTAGTATGGGCAGGAGAATGGTTTCTTCCATGAGAACCTTCCCACATGGCTTTCATAACACTGCAGCGATATAATTCACCATCAGTACTCATCTTAAAAAGATTCCCTGGCTATACTTCTCACATAACGTTTGTGCCCCTGGAGAGGTATTTTGCCTCCACTCATCTTAGCAGTACATGACCTGGTTTTTAAGGACCTTGCTCACATACAAACTTAGCCAGTCTGCCTGCTTGGATGACATTTCCAGCCGAGAGAACTCTGCTGCACAGTTCAAATGTTTGGTTTTCAACAATATTGGCAGCTCCTAGTCCCAGTAGAAAGGCATATGCTGGCATGCACCAGGTCAACCAGTCAGATGAAACAGGAAGTGCAAGCAGTTTGCCCAGCCTCTGATGAGAACAGGGTGGGGAAGCCATATTATTGAACTGGCAACAAGATTTTTACACACAGTATTCTCATTGAGGGGCAGAAGAACCCTGCTACAAGGGGAACTGGCATTGATGTTGAGGCTTTAAACAACCAATAACAGTGATTAAAAATGAAACCTGGAGGAGCCCTTTAAGGGCTCAGTGGCCAGCATTACTGTGTGTGTGCTGCAGGTACTTACTTGTAACATACATAGCATTCCAGTAACTTTGCGCTGGCTGTTAATGGGCTCTGCCGCCATGATGCATTTTCCCCGGTCCAGCCACGTCTCCATGGAGACACACCATGAAACCCTCTCGAGACACTCTTAGTATATATAGCTTCCTAGTCTCATATCTCCCACGTTTTACTGTACAATAGCAACTATCGATTTATAGCAGGTGAAATAAACCTTACAAAAAAATAAATAAATCAAACCTTCTGAAGGAAAATCATATTTTAGTAGGATCATAGCATTGCTGCCGGTGGGAAGTCAGGCCTTGTGTATACCTTTTTGTTTCTATATGACCAGGAAGTCGTATTTCAAATGCTAAATTCGGACACTCTCCATCTCCCTTTATTCTCGTACCATTTGCTGTATGAACTGCAGTTACATGCTGGCCATAGAGGCGATATTACACAATGCAATATTAGTTACAGCCACCTACAGAAAACCTTGCAGCTCCAAAACACAGTATTCTAGAACCTCTCCACTTTTCCCTGTCGCCGCCGCCGCTGATTAAAATGACCTTCATTGCCGATATAATATGGAATTCTCACAGAAACCTCTTCCATCTGTCCCTCTCCAGCCCGACTATATTCTACACCCAGCTAAATGACCTTCTGCCATTGTTTTAGGGGGTCGCTATATTTATGCTTCTCCTGTGGGTTAAAGAGACAGAATCCTGATTTACTACCTGCGCTCCGTGTGCCCCTTTTTTTTTTTTTTGGTCAGCAATGCATTTTGGAAATTGCTTTCCCTGAATATTTGTCACAAACGCTCACTGGAGCAGAAATCATTGTTAACTCCGAAGCTATAAAAATATGCTGGTTAAGTAATCTTTCTTGTTTAAATAGATTTCAGAAGCAGTGTTTCTTGCTTTTTTAAGGAATTGTGAAGAAAAACGTTCCTACTTTGACTTTTAAATATGACCCAGGCAAGCTTGTAAGCAGGGCACGGCGGAACTGGGAATATAAAACATACAGTAACCCTTTGTGACCTGCGGCCAATCATAATACAGTTCACTGTAGTCAGATTTTAAGAGGTCACATCTGAATGGTTATGGGACTGATTATTATCTCGCTTCTTTGCGCTACATTATTGAATAGGCGATAAAAGGGGCCTGTTCACCACCAGAATCCTCATCTGCGTCACACATCCAAAGTCACTAGTCAGAAAGCTTTGTAGGGCAATCTGTTCAAACTATTAACGTCAAACTGATGGCTTTAATATTTTCTTGAGATAGAGAGAGAGATACACAGAGAGAGAGAGAGAGAGAGACACAGAGAGAGAGAGAGAGAGATACAGAGAGAGAGAGAGATACAGAGAGATACAGAGAGAGAGATACAGAGAGAGAGATACAGAGAGAGAGATACAGAGAGAGAGATACAGAGAGAGAGATAGATAGAGAGAGCTGCCATGTGCAGCAAGGATGCAGGAACAGAGCACATGCCCGTGTGTACCAGCAGAACCACAGCGGCAAGGAGTGCCATTTAAAAACGTTTTTAATCACATGCCATTACCATGATGTATAATACACACGGCCACATACATCATTCTGCAATGACATGTGTTACAAGCTTTTCCTGCCATGGTTGCACATGTGTGTTTTTGTCCCAGATTTCACATATGTGTGGCTAGATTTCAAGGTGAGCAATATCTCCTATAGAAAAACATTACATTTGTTGCTACAATTAGGGTGCCCCGGTCTTTTCTTTTTTTTAGTGTTCAATCATTTTTGAGTTACCGACCTGGAACAAGAGTGCAGGTCTGGCATGTAAATGCAAAATCAAAAAGGCAAAATATCATTATCTGCATACTTATTGTGAGTCGGTGACTTAGGCCTCGTTCACACCTGAACGTTTTGTAGCGCGTTCTACGCTCGACGAACGCTCAAACATCTAAATCCCATTGTATTCAATGGGTCTGGTTCCCACCTTGGCGTATTTCAGCCCGTCCCTAACGCGCTACAAAACGGCCCACGCCTGAAAAGGTACATGTACTACTTTGGGCCGTTTTTGTTGCGCGTTTCCATTGGGATACAGCCAAGTAGCCCTCGGAAACGCGCGTTTGTCGCGCAATTTTTTTTACCGCGCATCGCACCGTGCATATGCAATACGCCTAGGTGTGAACCAGGCCTTAAAGAAATGAACCCAGAAGATCAGCATGATAACCAGCAAGGCAGTAAGCATTTTTAGAAGGGGGGTCAGCAGTGACAAATTTTACTATAGGTTTCCTTTGAGTCAGGGGTAGCCAAACTCTGGCCCCCAGCTATGGTGCAACTACAAATTCCACGATGCATTGCAAGACACAGATATGACTCCCAGAGACAGATGCGGGATAGGATTTTTAGTATCACCATAGTGGGAGGTCTGGAGTCTGCCTACCCCTGCTTTATCAGTATGTCTGCATGGGTACTTAATTGACGGCTAATTTACAATTCAGTAGACAGCATCAGAGAGTTATGTTTTGTTGGTTTATCACACTCCTGAAGCAAGACATATGTTCCCAGGAAACAAAGGGATGGAGTAAGGAAGTGTTTTATGTGATCACATTTTATGAACCTCATGATAAATATACCGGTATTTTTACATTAATAACCTCCTCCAGGTGGGATACAGTGATTTCTGTGCTATTGCATTGTATATATTCCCTGATATGAATAGTCCTGTGAAGTATGAAGATATATGAAGTAAATACAATTTAGAGGCTCTGTTCTGAAAGATATTCTTAGGTCACTAATTCAGAGGCTGAACTCGCAGTAATATGTCATAATAAATGATGTTGCTTTCAATATTTTATAGGGCCACCAAGCCTCAGTATCCAGGCCAAGTGTCACCCCTGTCTGTCCAGTCCTTGTCGGAACCAAGGAATCTGTCAGAATGACCCTGTGGAATACTACAAATGTATCTGTCCGCCTGGCTTCAAGGTAAGGTCCATAACTGTCCATAAAGTCCTCCTCATGTATCACTGGCCCCTCCCTTTTAGATTGTAAGCCCTCAGGGGCAGGGCCCTCCTTACCATCTTGTCTTGAATTGTGATTGTAATGTTTTCCTTGTATTGTTAAAGCGCTGCGCAAATTGTTGACGCTATATAAATCCTGTATAATAATGATAACTGAGCAAGATTAATGCTTAAAGCGATAACACAAAGGAGAATGAAGTGGAGTACCATACTATATCAAATCCAATTCTCAGATGCTGCCCTCCCATAGGTAAAGCAGAATTGTATCAAGAAAAGAAGCCAGACTTAGTGTAGCCCCCTGAAGAAGAGGATTGCAATATAAAGTATAATTTTGACAATACATATTATTAATATCAGATAATCCATAAAAAACCATTATTAGGCTACATATATAAAGTTCATGTGTGAATAATGTCCCCCATCAAATAAACTGGAAATATAAGTGATTTACAGTACGTATACATGCACAATGACGCATTTGGAGATCCACTTCTTCAGGGCTGGAATAAATTGTTAGATGATAACTCAGGGGTCCACAATCACACACACACACACACACGTAACGATAAATATATACATAACATATTAAGGAATTTGTAAGATTCATATTAGCATGACACATTTCCATTTCTAATCTACTAACAAATAGTATACATGAGACAAATGTAGCAAAACTCCTCCCCCAATACCACAGAGATAAGACACCTATTAGGAAGAGAAAGAAGAAAGGAGTCCCTCAGATGTGAGCATCCCCCCCCCCTTTCTATAGGCACACCACCAATTTGGGAAGCTCCCTGCTGCTATTGTACATTATATATATTTAGATTTGATAGGTGGCATAATTTACACATTGACCCTATATATGTACCCTTATATATACTTTTAGAAGTTCCTTAGCCATCAGTGTGAATATGATTTATCTAATATCAATAAAGAAATCAATATTTAAAAGCTAAACTCCAGGCGTTTATTATAATACAGAATATACAGTTATGTGCTGCATTTAAAACATTTAATGGTCTTTTAGTGAACTAGTGTAAGCACCTGAATGCCTTGAGGTCAGCCTCCTGTAATGACCTGTACATCAGCACACCAGTTTGGAGAGGGAGGGGCAACACTACTGGCCAACCAATTTCTGCTGCAGTGCACATGTGCTGACAGGGAAACATGCTCCTAGGAAGGGGGAGCGCAGTGTCAGAACGCAGGCGGTGTGTTTTGACCATTGTTCTCGATCCAGATGTGCTTCTGCTGCCGTGAAGGTCAAGGATCTTGTTGTACTTTGTGTCAGGGGTTCCTGGGTCACAAGCTTGTAGTGATTAGAATAAAACCTGATGATGAGTTAAATTCTCTGTTCCTTTAGAAATATAAGAATCTGGATGGTTTAAACAACAGATGGCTCTTTTTTTCAACATGGCAACTAACAGAACTGTAGAGAGCACAGAATGTGTATAAACATCAGAGTATTTGGTACCGATACAGATATTGGCATAGAGTATGTTACCAGTAGCTCTTTGACATAATGGGGATGATTTATCAAAACTGGAGCAGGCACAATCAGGAGCCGTTACCCATGGTAACCAATCAGTTTAGCTTTAGAACATGAAAAAAGATGATTGGTTGCCATGCCCAGCTGCTCCAGTCTTTGTAAATTCCGCTCAATGTACTTTTGTAACGGTTTTGTTTGAGGTATGGGGCTTCATTAAATGCTACAAAATATTAGTTTCCTCAGATCTTTGCCTGCCACTGGAAAAAACTATGTTTATAGCATCCTTTTTCACCAAAAAAATAGGAAATTACAACAAAAAAAGGAAATTACATGTGTCCAGTGATTGTCAAAAAAAATACTTACACCATTTTTACTTCGCTAGATGTGCGCAAATTTCTGTATTTCTTAGAAAATGCAAATTGGCTACCTGACAAAAGGTGCTGATTGCATGTTTTGTTTTCCCTCTCTACACTATAAAAGGAAGCACAAATTAAAAGCTCACAATATTCTGCATCTTCTGAATCACTTGTTAATTTAAAGCTTTTTCCTGTTCTGACAGGTGGTTTTACAATCACGTTTCCGAGCAGGAATAAAACATATTTATTATTTTACAACAGAAAGTAGAATTCTAGAAGCCGCCTCTAGGAAACAGCAGAGGATGCTGCACAGAGCATCACAAGACAACCGGCATTCAGCATTATCCTAGCACGGGAAAGCAAGAGTGGTGCTTTTAAAACCAGCTCAGTGCTCTTGTGTTGTACTTTTCATGGCATTCTGTTTTCATTTTTTAACCAGTCCTAATGGATTTGTGTATGCAGCTGTGACACAGAGCAAATCTGAATAGGAAAGGACATGCTTGGTCTCTGAAGAAACTTCGATTTGTAAACATCTTACTAACAGCAGGGCCCGGCAGTAAGGCCACTCTGGTGATGCTGCAGCATGTTATGTTAACAGGATGGGCTTGTTAGTGTATATTATTACAGTACGCTGGACAGGAAATGTCTGCTTAGGTTACTGCATCATATAACACGGTATGATTCTCTTGTTGTCTCTACAGGGTAAAAACTGTGAGATCTCCCTAAATGCGTGTTCTAGCAACCCATGTGAAAATCAGGGCGTTTGTCACCCCAAAGATAACGCTAGCGGATTCACGTAAGTATTGTGTTTATGATAAGAAATAACAGTATTAATAATGCACAGTGTCAGCAAGTCGTTACCGAAAACCTGGCAGATGCCCGGCCAATTCAAACTTAGCTTATGAGGGAACAAATGCATAGGCATTGTGTACAAAGCATGTGTCTACGTGAGCAGTAGCACAGTGGCGTAGTGGTTAGCACTTCTGCCTTGCAGCACTTGGGGGTCCATGGTTCGAATCCTGGCCAGGTCACTATCTGCAAGAAGTTTGTATGTTTTCCTTGTGCTTGCCTGGGTTTCCTCCGGGAGCTCTGGTTTCCTCCCACACTCCAAAGACATGCTGGTAGGTTAAATGGCTCCTCTCTAAAAAAAAAAGTGACCCTCTATGTATGCGAGATAGGGACCTTGGCTTGTAAGCCCCTTGAGGACAGGGACCTTGTGCTACTATGTAAAGTGCTGTGTAAAATTGTCGGCGCTGTATGAATACCTGTAATAAAATAAAATAAATCAGCGATTTATTTCTCAATTCAGAAACCAGCTTTCTCAATTCAGAATGACTTGTACAAAAATTATCTGGGAACAAAAATCACCAAGTCATTCTGAATTGAAAAAGCTGGTTTGATGACCAGTGAAACGTCTTCAAGAAAAATACAGCAAGTCCAGTTGCCTTGACTTATTTTTTTGCAGCTATACCCCGACTTGGACGAATAAGAACCTTCACAGACAGTAAATAACACGGTCAATGTTGCTTTCAGAAATTGGTCATATACTACTTGACTGAAGGGTGCGAAAATTTAAAAATTATCCTCATGGGAAAAGGGTAATTTTTGTTTTCCTCCAGTTTTTCATACTTGAAACCTAATGCAACTCATGCTGTGAGCCCAGACCCACGTGGTGACACCCCAGGGGGTGCGTCAATGACAGCTCAAAGGAAGTGGGTTGATGAACATTGGCTGCCATTCAACCTGAAAAAGCACCAGCAGAGGCCAGCAGAGTTTCTTTGGGGGACATCATTATGGACAGCATCAGTATTAAAAAAAAAAATTTAATTTGTACAAGATATGGTCATTTTATTTAAAAAATAAATAAACAGAAATTGAAGCGCTGCTTTAAGTCATGAGTGGAGCTACAGAATGAGGTGAAAGTGTACTGAAGAGTTTACAATCAGTGCAGTGACTGAAGGCAATACTCTGTACTTTGTCCTCAAAAATTCTAAACCGCTATTATTCAACCCCAACATCTCGGAGTTGTTGTAAAGAAGTTTTATGAGTTTAGTATAAAGTATTTCTCTAAGCCTAATTGTACTGCTTTGTACAACAGAGAGAACATTCTAACATTCACCGAAGAATACTTAGATAGCTGTGCTCTCAATAAAACAGCATGGAGGTGAAAGCATTTCTTCTCTTCTTGTGGCAAGTTTGTGAAGAGAAGAAAGAAAAACGTTCTCATCCGCTGGAAGGAAGCGCTGTATACGTTAGATAATGAGAGGTGCACTTTTGTTATGTTTGCAGATATTATTGTCAAGGATTTTGTCTGCAGGTGCATTTAAAATAGATTCACTCAAAGCTTCAGGGCTTTGCAGAAAATCTTACCCTGAGTTTCTATGGTAACATTTAAAGTTAGTTTCCAGTTTAAGCACCTCTAAAAATGGCAGCGCAATTTGCAAACAGCTTGCTAAACGTGTGATTGTGACAACATAAACCTCCTTGCTTTCGACTTTAGTAAGATGGCAGCTGTTTATTTGTGTACAATAATGACCTCGTGCTGGACATTCTAAAGAAACAAAATCAATCTGGGAGGCTCTCTTGTGGCACAAAAGTGTTTGTGAACTTTGACAAGTGCCATAAACATTTTGTGTCCCTGATCCATTAGAAGGGTCCATTCTGCCTTGCACCTCAATGTCAATGAGCAGTGTATGATGCTGCTCCGGCACCTCACTGTCAATGAGCAGTGTATGATGCTGCTCCGGCACCTCAATGTCAATGAGCAGTGTATGATGCTGCTCCGGAACACGTAAATATGCCCAACTGTAAAATGTTATGTTATAAATATTATTGTGTTTGCTGCAGGCGAAGGCCTCATTCGCACTGCGTTAACTCAGGGTGTACATCCTGTCTGTGTCCGAGTACAGACACCCGGACCCGCACAGATGTACAATTCGGGTGTGCGAACGACTTCATCCTCTCATAGGAAAGAACAGGATGCTACATTCACCACCTTTTCCTCCTGGGAATGGCCCTATACAGGCGTGCACACTGCACAAACTTGTATGCCCCAAGGTAATGCAGTGTGAATAAGGCCTTAATCATGCTCTTTGTCTCCTACTTTTTGACCTATTCCAGTTCTTTGTCAATAAATATATAACAGTTATATATTTTATATATAAAACTTGATTTATTCAACATGAAATATTTAACTGTAAAAAATATACACTTTATGTTGGTCTTTATCCTCAAAGGCTGCATGAGATAAGTGTTTTATCAGATAAGGCTTCCCAGTATTGTATTAAAATTATGCTGATGAATTGTGTACCATATTCCTTCCATTTTGCCTTTTTTTGTATACTCCAAAGCTTAATGGGGATGTGGTGTGACCATGGAGGTCTCTTGATAGAAAAAGTGCCTCGCCTCTCCTTTTTATAGAGCTGCCCAGTACAAAGGCTTCCATGATGTGCAGGGTGTTTGTGCTTCTCTTTCTGGCTCTTGTGTCTGACATAATACACTGTAATGTTTATTTCACAATAAGACCTGCCTCGTCTCTCCTTTTTACATAGCAGCCTAGTAAAAAGGTTTCCATGATGTGGAGCATGCCTGTGCTATATTTCTGGCTCTTATCTCAGAAACAAGACTTTTTTTATTATCAAGAAACAAAAATGTATAGTGGAATTTGTCAATCTTCAAATGTAGCCTACTAAAACAGCTTCTATGATATGCAGCATGTCTGTGCTTATATTATTCTGGCTCTTGCCTGTAATTTTTTTTTTACAGCAAGGCCTGCCTTATCGCTCCCTCTTACATAGAAGCCTAGTAAGAAAACTTCTATGATGTGCAGCATGTCTGTGCTTTATTTCTGCGACTCCCGGCTCTGACATATTACACTGTAATTTCTATTTCATGATAAAACCTGCCTTTTCTCCCTCTCTAACACGGCTCCCAAATCAAGCTGCTTACATACTCTCCAGCCACCATGGTATATGTGTGTGGCTATTGTTTCTGAAATATTGCTATGTAAGTTTTATTTCAGCATCAACTGTCACATCTTTAGAATGTGAGGATGTAATTTTGGAGTGTTTTTGTGCACTCTGTGGTTGACATTTTATTAAACTTTGTAGACAATACGATGTGTGGTACTGAAAAAGCTAGGCTATGAAACATGGTTGGCAATTGTTACATCAGGCATTTAGCATTATCTTATTTTTTAAGTGTAAACCTTCTGAGAGCTCTTCAGTCTATTCTGCCTACTACTTCAGCCGCTTAATTCCGGCCTATTACTGCTAGATGAGAGAAGAAAAAAAAACTACCTAAAATCTTTTTTTTTTTTTTATGGAATTTGTTTTCCAATTTAAAATTCATTAGATGGGTTGCTGCTGCTTTATGTAAGTGAAGGTAAAATGTCAAACTTAAAAAAATTGTTACACATATAAATTATGTGATGCCAGAATAGAGCGTCGCTGACGTGGTACCGGAAAATGGTACTATTCTGTAACACCATCGCATGTCATTTGAAGAATGCGTGATTTTTTTTATGTTGTCCTCAAAGTAGTCCTTCTCCACACTGAAGGATATTTTATTTTTTTCATTGGAAAATTCCCTCTCCTCTCTCTTTTTTTCCCGGTGCTCGCCGATACCAAATACCAATACCACAAGTCCCATTAAGGAAGCCAGGCGGCATGTAATGACTCAGCACCCGACTAGCAGGGAAGCCGTTCCCATGCTTCTCGTCACCCTGTGGCCAATCAGGAACACGTCATTACACGCTGCCCGGCTTCCTGATTGGAACCATTTGTGACGAGTGAGCATGGAGCCAGCTTCCCGGCCAATCAGGTAGCTGAGCATCACGTCATTACACGGCGCCCGGCTTTCTGATACCGGAAGTATCGGGCTAGGTATCGGAACATTTGGGTGAGTACTCGCCCAAATACTCAGCATCGATACCGATCCTAGTATCAATGCATCCCTAGTTATAACAGAATGTTATACAAAGAAGGATAATAATAAAAAGAAATAACAGTAAACAAATGTGATTGCGCTGTAAATATGAGGTTACTCTGAAACAGATGAACAAGACAAGGGCAGAAAACACACAGATGTACTTGTACGCCCTTTAGGAGAAATGAGATGAAATATCTAGCAGAACAGGGTAACTATATCAAAATGTATTCTTACGCTCAATTGCTTTCAGTACAATTTATTTTTCTTTAGTGTCTTTTTCAGTTACATTAAGTCAATTTAGACCGCACAATGGATGCTTTTTTTTTTTTTTACTGCACAGGATGATTATCCAAACTGTTTTTAGAATTCTATATAGCCCTCCAATTAACCTGTTCTGTACATTATGTTGCCATCTGTTACCTTCCCTTCCACGCAGACAAAAAAAAAAATGATGAGCGCTAATAAAAGGACTGTCAGTGTCTTCACATATTTACATTCTAAATTGTATTTTTTTTTTTACATCTATCTATAGTGCCTCAGAATCTGCTATAATTACTGTGATTTGCTTTTAACTTTGCATGCATCTAAACTGACAGCATCTCCCATCACCCAAGCAGCACTCTAAGTCCAGGCATTTCAGATACAGGGACCCACTTTTCACTTAGTCGCTGCGTTTCCCCAATCCAGGCAAGATAATTAGTTGCCAAAAATAAATCTTAGTCAAGGGGAGAAGGAGACCAGAGAATTGGGTTATTTGAAAATTATGTTGAATCAAGAGGAAGAAATGACCAGACCTGCTTCTAAGAGCCTAAAATTACCAGATGAAAAAAAAATAATAAAATAAATAAAATACTTAATGGCCTCTCGCTCTGTTGCCATGGCAACCAAGCATCTTTACAATAGGCCTATATTTTCCTTTGGGGTTTGCAAAGCCATTCAATCAAGCCATTTACTCTTCACAGCTTTCAACCTGCACACAAATCTTTCCAGCCTGCTTTTTTTTTTTTCTCTTCCTTTATTTTGGGGGAATTTACCGAGAGTAGAATCCATTTCAAATTAAAAGAGAGGCCGTTTCAGGAACGTGTGAACAACTGCATTATTAAAAAGAGCAAAAAAAAAGGAAAGATAAACATGTATAGGGACAGAAAAAAAGAGCGAAACAGAGGTAGTGCAGAGAAACAATGATACCAATGTCGTCTTTTATGACAATAGACGACTCATTGCCATTCCACATTGTTCCCCAAAATACAGATATTGCAATGCAAGAGTGATGTGACCTTTTTAGGTCTGAGGCAGCAACCTTCTGTTAGCGGAAGGCCATTTAGACCTTTCTTTGGAAGAACATTAAAAAAAAAAAAGATTAAGAATCTACATGAGCTCATTCCAGTTGTGGAGAACGGTGAATACCCGGCCGCACTGTGCGGTAATATTCACGGCAACCAATCAGCTTCTTTCATGTTCAAATCTTAACTGACCAAACTGAAGAGAGAAGCTGATTGGTTGCCATGCACAGCTGCTCCAGATTTTGATAAATTCCCCTCATTGTGTATATGTGGAAGAACGTTGGCAAAAATTGTATTTCAACACAGTTACGACAAAGGAACACAAGTTCTCTACCGCAGTATAATAAAAATGTTCTCTAGATCCACTCACCTGCACTGCTGCTTTTCTCATAGGTCAGAACTTCACAGTGTTGCCTACAATGGAAAATTTGGTATTAGACCCCATATGTGTTTGTGCAGCTCACCAGAGTAACATCCGTTCTATTCTGCTCCAATCAGCAGGGAATCTGTTCAGTGCCCATTTGAAAGGAGCCATAAGATTCCCTACAGTTTCCACATTTACTGCTAGTGTAAGGTGACACTCACCATTGACGGGAAGCAACAGGGGAAGATGCAAGCATTCAGCTAGACATCTCTTAAGAGCACTTACTGTAGAAATGAGGGGTAGGGCAAAGGGGTGTCAGCAGCTCTCTGCTGCGGGGTGCCATATATGACATGTAAGCTCTGGCGAAGAGGTGTTTACTACCTTGAAATAGAAAAACAAGGAAAACCTGACTGGATTGCTGTAAGGCTGCATACAATTTAGCAGGTGATGTGGTTATGAAGTCCAGTACTAATGCAAATCTGGCTCTTTTAAAAAAAATAAAAAATCAGATTTTGGCTTAGTGCATTGGTAATTAAACTGATTAAAGACCTGCTTCCAACTCACAAAAATAGAAAAAGGTTAAAAAATGTAGATCCTCGTTGTAAAGACTTTAATACTTTGGACTATGTAAAGATCTTTAGGCAGTAGTAAATAGTGACTGGCTGCATGGTGTTTTTGTGAACTTTTTATCCCATGCACCGGTTCATACTCAAGACTGCAGAATAATTCTGTGCATGCTTGTTTATCAAAATAATCACAGCTGTACCAGTACAAATACAGGACAAGCGTGCATACCTGTGAAAGCACATTGCCGTTTCACATTGTGTCTGTGC